TTACATTTCCAGTGGTGTCTGAGTGCCTCATAAAGATGGCACCCTATCTAGCTGCATGGCTGCCTGACCCCTTAAACCAGCCCCGGTGTTGGGCGCCGAGCAGGCTGTCACCCTGCCATATAAGTCTCATGATCTCCATTCTACCTGCTGAAACTGAGGCTGAGGGAGGTTAGGTGAGCTGCCCAAGACGCCCATAGCTGTGAGTAAGTCTCACCTCGGAGCTGAGATCTGAATTCGGGCTCACCCATGTTATTCCAAAGCCCAGACCTTCTTCACGTCCTCCCCCTCCCCTGGGAGAAAATGGGAAGACAAAGCCATTGAGAGCTGAAGGATGGGCCCTCTGAGGAGAGACAGGAGGTGGAGGTTTGAACAGGGAGTTGTGACAAGCTGTTGGAGACCCAGTGGGTGCCAGGAAGCTGGGTGCTCAGCCGCGCCGCGAGATGGCCCAGGGTGGGGTGAGCAGAGCCAGGGTGGGCTCCCAGGGTGTGAGAGGGCGAGGAAGGCTTGGTGGGGGGAGCGCGTGATGCAGCCAGGCCAGGGCCTTCCCTCCACAGGCGGGCCTGCTGGCGCTGCCCACTGACAGGACAGGGTAGGCTGGGGTCTGGCAAAAAGAGGCTCAAGAGCACAGGAGCGATCTTTGCAGGAGAAATCCGTCCTTCAGTCCTAGATCGGAGGCCGCAGAAAGTCATTTGGGTCAAGTGGAGGCAGGATACCGAGCACCCTGGGGCTGGCCCCCCACTGCTCCCCTTTCTCTCCTCATTTCCCTTCCCTCCAAACCCCGGGCGCCGGCGGGCACAGCTCCAGGACCTGGCAGCCTGTTCCTGGCCTCCCCAGCAGAGGGCTCCAGAGCAGAGCTCAGGAGGGTTGGGTGGGGAAAGGCATCCGGCCGAGCTCCCCGAACGGAGGTACAGGAAGAACAGGGCCTTGCACGTGGCTCACAGGGGTCCAGGTGCCCACAGACGCGGGCGGTCTTCCCTCCTGCATGGCTGTGTCCGCATTTCGGTGCACAGCGTGGGTGTATGTAAGTGTGTAAAGGGCGTGCATCTGGGTTTGTATGTATCTGCCGGTGCGTTTACACGACTGCTTGTGTGTAAGTCTGTTGGGTAGTTGGGCTGGACGTGTGTGTTTGCTCATTTCCGCTTTGCACACACCGGCACTGCTCACCCATGGGTCTGCGGGTGCCCTTGTGATTTGTGCATAGGTATCTACGCTTGGGCTTGGAAGGAGGAAAGAGAAAAACAGGTGTTGGGGATGTGCTGGCCAATCTCAACATTCTCAGGGACAGGGATGCCCCTGTCCCGTCCCAGATGTCACAGTGTGTCCACAGCCCTCTGGCTGATAGTGCCCGGCCCTCCTCAGCTTTGCTCCCTGCCCTGTGAAAATGAAAGACCCCTGGAGTAGGTGGCGTAGTTCATTTCTGTCTAGGACCCACACGTCCATGTGTGTGCATGTACACAACTGTGACTTTTTTGGATAGAGATTGAGTTATTTTTTTCTGGAGAGAAAAATGTTGACATGCCTTTGGAGAATCGTCTGCCCAGAAAATCCCCTGATGTATGAAGAAGGCATGTTCATCCCTTCTCTCTAACACACACCCCTCTCAGAGGCCCGGGATCTTACCAAGTGTGGTGTTTGGGCCCCCTCGGGGCGTCACCTGCACCGCTTTCCCAGTCCCATCCAGCATGGGGCAAGGATCCCATAGAGCTGGGCCGCAGGATGGGAGCAGACTCAGCCCTGTGTCTCCAGGCAAGGTTGATTTCCTGTGGCTGCTGGAACAAATCACCACACACTAAGCGGCTTAAAACAAAACAAATGTATTCTCTTACAGTTCTTAGGTGAGATGTCCAGGCTCAGTCTGACCGGGCGAACGTCGAGGTGTTGGCAGGGCTGGTTTGTCCTGGAGGCTCTGGGAGGCTCTCCGTCTCCTTGCCGAGCTCAGCTTCGAGGGGCTGCCTGTGTCCTTTGGCTTGTGGCCCCTTCCTTCGTCTTCAGAGGGCCTCACTCCAGTCTCTGCTCTGTCAACACACTGCCTACTTCTGTTCTCACCCTCCTGCGTCTCCCGTGCTTGTGATTACTTTGGGCCCCCCCTGGCGGACCCCCATCTCAAGAGCCTTAATCGAATCACAACTGCAAAGCTCCTCTTGCCATGTAAGAACATTCTCAGGTTCTGGGGTTTACCTGGCCATGTTTGGGAGCTGTTATTCAGCATGTGGCCCTCAGCCGTAGCTCAGAGGCTCAGTCTCCATTGGCCTCTTCTCTGATGTCAGGACACTGAGGCTTTGCCTTACTGGGCTCTGGATGAGATGGGCCTGGCTCCACTCATTGTCGAGTCTCTGGGCCTCATGCCGTCTCCTCTGCTTCGTCAGAAGGGAAGCCCTGTCTACCCTGCATCTGGCACCCTGAGGGGGTGTCTACCCCTGAGGGGCATCTTCAACCTGTGAAGAATTCCTCCAGCTCCAACTTAGTTTAGGATCTGAATTGTACCTTTCTTCAAGGCGGGGTCTTCAACTGCCCCCTGTGACGTGGGGACAAGAATCCTAGACCCAACTCAAGGACCCTGGGTAGGTATCTCAAATGCCTGAGTGGGAGAGGCAGAGATGTGGGAACCCACTCCTGCAGTTGTCCCCACCGGATCCAGCTCCCAGAGCTCAGGCCACCCCAGTTACAACCAGGACTTAAAAGAGCAAGAGAGGGACAATGCTGAGCCAGCCCGGGGAGTCCCACAGGACCCAGTTGGTCAGGCCGGTGCCCTCAGAGGCCTCCTGAGTGAAGTGCCTCTTTGAGCCAGACCTTCCCTCCTTCCTTCCTTCCTTCCTTCCTTCCTTCCTTCCTTCCTTCCTTCCCCTGACATATGTCAGACACAGGATGTGGAGGTAGAAATGGTCAGTCCCCCGCTGCCTGTGACAAACCAGTGGGGAGACAACCATGCAAACACCCTCTCCCAAGAGGTGTGTTGGGCACTGGTCCCTGGAGTTCCCCAGAGCCCTGTGGAAGCCAAATGAGGCTGCCTAAGGTGCCAGGAGGGCTTCTTGGGGCTGGTGGTTCTGCATTGCAAACCCCAAAACACTGAGTCGCCCTGCACATACCATTCAGGGAGAGACAGCCATGGTTTGGCTCATGCCGTTCCCACTGCTTGCTATTTTTCTACTCCTCTCCTGGATAGCTCTGACTCAGGTGCCACCTTCAGGAAGTCTTCCCTGAAGTCTGTGGAGGCTAAATCCCCTCCTTGATGCACCCCACAGAGAAGCTTATTGTATCGAGATGAGGGACTGATCTTATCCTATAGACAAGAGAAGGCCACTGCCCTGGAGGGGCTGAGAGTGGGAAAGGGACAGCATTAGGGAGACGGGGCTGGGCTCCTCAGCCTGCCTTTGAAAAGCAGATGGGCCCTTTGAGCTCTGCCGAGGGGATGCTGAGTCTGCTTTCACAGCTTGTGGTGCTAGCACTGGGACCAGAAGTCCCCTCTCCTGCTTTTAGCCCAATGCCCTTTCCATGAACCAGCCTGTCCTGAGGGTGGTCATGTCCTGGCCACCTCTGTGTCCACAAGGGCTTGGTGAACGAACATGAAGGGAATGAACACGGGGGACCTGATGCCACCAGACACAAGCGCCCAGAAAGCACATCGTGCTCATGTCACAGTTTGGTCTCATACTGGCCTATCTCCCAAGGGGGTGCCCAGGTTTCCCAAGATTCCTTCCATGGCAGAGATGTTCAGAGAAAGATCTGGATCGGAGTTCTGGCTCTGCCTCTTACGACCCGTATGACCTCTGGAGCTCCCATCTGCTCATCAGCTGAGTGGGGACAATAACTGGACATACCTTGGGACGCCTGGGTGGCTCAGTCGGTTAAGTGTCTGCATTCAGCTCAGGTCATGATTCTGGGGTCCTGGGATTGAGCTCCACATCGGGGTCCCTGTTCAGTGAGGAGTCTGCTTCTCCCTCTTCCTCTGCCCCTGCCCCTAACTCATGCTCTCTCTCTGACAAATAAATAAATAAAATCTTTAAAAAAATAACTGGACATATCTCATGGGTGTGTTTGGACCACTAAGTAAGATGACTGTGTGAAAAGACTTGGGTGCCCTGGCTGGCACATAGAGATCCCTGGGAATGGTGACTCTCTTTATGGTTCTGTCACCTGAACCCCCACCATTCCCTCACCATGCTCCCATTCTATGGGTTCAGACTTTGGAATGGAGGATTCATGCTGCTTCTAGCCCAAGCCCTAGCCCAACCCAAAGAGATTCTGATTCATTAGGTCTGGGATGGGTCCCCAAGCTCATTATTTTTATTAATCTTTACTTTTTAATAAACATCCTGGGTGATCCTGAGGTTTAGCCAGGTTTAAGAGCCACTAGAATAAGTGGTGATGGGATTTTATTCTAATAAAGGCCACACTGTGCCCTCAAAAATGGAGGGTTTGCTTAGAGACCCCTTCCCTGGCCCCTGAGACCACAGCAGGTAGGACGGTCTCCCTTCCCATAGGGAGGGTGGCGCTCCTCCAGAGTAGTTCTGCTGGAAGGGGTGGGGGCAGGGCCAGCTGCGTCCCCTCCTGCAGCTGTTTCGGTGCCATGGCCCAGTGGAAATGACTCTGAAATTCATTCTCCACGTCTCCTACAGCTGGGCCAGGTGGCTACTGGCCGGAGGGGCTGATCCCAGGAGAGAAGAGAATCATGCCCACCCACCTCCGCTTAGCACAGGGCTCCCCCAAACCCTGCCTTCTGGGGCCAACAAGTGCCTTTTGTCCCAAATCAATCCATGCCTTCCCACGGGGAGACTCTCTTTACTCAGTGTCCAGAAACACCCCACTCTTGCATGTCTGCACGTTCCCTCAGAACCGTGTGGCTTTGGAAGGTGGTCGTGCCTGGATCTCACCCCAGGCCCAGGGACGTCCTGAGGCCTGGGATGAGCTAGCTGCTCTGGGAACATGTGAAGGCAGGAAGGCTGCCCATGGGGACGAGAGTGGCCCCACAGATTTCACTCCTCCCTGCGAGGGACGGCGGGTGGGAGCTTGCCCCGCATCGGGGAACTCAGCCTTTTTATTAGCTGCGGGGAGGTGCAGGAGCAGGGCTTTGGCCGAGGAAGAAGGGAAAGGCCCAGAATGAGAGCACTGTCCTCTGCCAAGGACACAGGACTGTTGACGTGGGAGAGATGGGTGCAGCCTCTGGATGGAGTCCATGGTGAGGAGGAAATGGTTTTCACTGAAAAACAAAGTTGAAAAACAGTTTACTGAAGGGAAGAGAAAGAGGGGGGAAAAAAAAAACCCTCAAACTGTCTGATCATCAAAATCACCTGGGTAGTTGGTTAAAAATATAAATTCCAAAACTGGTTCCAAGTCAATAAAATATTATTCTTGGTAGCCCTGGGTTTCTTTTCCTTGTGGTTTAAAAATGTAGATCCCTTGTCAATGATCTCTCCGTCGAGCTGGGGAAAAAATGAAGTTACACATAAAAGCAGTAGAAGAGCTAAAATCAGTTGCACAGCAAGGAAACTTTTCAGAACGGGTTGAGTGGAAGGGGAGGGTGAGAACGAAATCTTTACCTTTCTAACCTGGGCATCACTATCTGAACTCGAATAATTAATCATACAATAAGCTCTGTTTTGTGATTAAAGGAGAGCCGGCCATAGGAAATACAATGAGAACCAATCTTTTAAAAATGTGGGTTTGGACTCACATAGCTTGCAAAGCGCTGGGGCGGGTGGGTGTCAGGGGTGAGGGGAAGCAATACTTTATAGAATCGACAGTATAGATTATGTTTCTAATCTCCCTGTTGGGCTTGAGGGAGAAGGGAGGGAAGGAGACACAACAGGATTAGACAAAAATAAAATCCTAAAAGCAACTTGTCTCCAGCCAGGCTGGGTCTTCCTCTAGATGCATCTGTCCTCCCCTCCTTCTAGTTCAAATTTCCTATGTGTGTTGTCTCCTCTCACCCCCCTCTTGTCTCCCTCAGCCCTTCCCCAGTGCCCCCCTACCCCACCAACAGTGAGGCTGTATGCCCCAGCGTTATCTTTTCAACCCTCTTCTCTTCTCACTGTCCACTTTCCAGGGCTGGTCCTGTCCCAGTGATAATCCCAAATCAAGGCCACACCCCAATACCCAGTTGCCAGAGGGTGCCCCTGCTCCCTCCTCAGCAAACCAGTATTTCTCTCTGAAGTGCATTTCTCACCTTCCCTGCCTGCTGACATCTGGTCCACTTGTTCATTTTTGAAGGCCCAGCTCAGACATCACCTCCTCCAGGAAGTCTTCCCAGTCAGTCATGCCGTATGCTTGGTTTTTACAGTTTTATTTTGTTTTCGATTAATGAATTTTATTTTTTAGAGTGGGTTTAGGTTCACAGCAAAATTAAGCTTAAAGTACAGAAAGTTCCTGTGTAGCACTTATTTTTCACAAGATGTTGTGTAACCAGCTTTTATTAATTTTATTATTTATTTATTTAAAGATTTATTTACTTATTTGAGAGAGAGAGAGCACGGGGAGGGGCGGAGGGAGAGGGAGAAACTTTAGCAGACTCCTCGCTGAGCTTGGAGCCCAACATGCAGCTCCATCTCGCAGACCCCAAGATCATGACCACTGTGAAATGATCACAACAAAGCTAATTAACATATCCATCACTTCACACAGTCTCCTTTTTGGGTGTGTGTGAAAACAATTGAGATCTCCTCTCTTAGCAAATTTCAAGTACACGTCATATAGAATTATTAGCTGTAGTCACCATGCTGTATGTTAGATCTCCAGAAGCTATTCACCTTCTAACTGAACGTTTGTACACTGACCAGCATCTCTCCATTTCCCTCACCCCCCAGCCTTTGGCAACCTCCATCCCACTCATCCCACTCCCTGCTTCTATGAGTTGGACTTTTTTAGATTCTACACCTAAGTAGGATCATGCGGATTGGGCATGTCTTCCTCGGCCTCACTTATTTTACTTAGCATGATGTCCTCCAGGTTGAGCTGTGTGGTCACAAATGACAGGATTTCCTTGCCAGCTTGTTAGCCCCGCCCACCTGTTGGCCCCACGGGGTTGTGAGCTTCTAGGAGGCAGCTCTGTGGCCTGGTCCACCTTGGACACTTGGCACCCAGCACGGTGGGACAGAGCTCTAGATCATACCCTCCTTCTTCACAGCCTTGCTATAAACACCTGATCAGGTGGTAAAAGCCTGCCCCGGCCCTCTGCTATTCTCTTGTCTTCTGCCACAGCAAGGTCCCCTAACCTTAAAGGTTCTTTTTTTTTTTTTT